TTTTTTTTTTTTTTTTTGTAATCTGAGCTTCCTTTATCTTAAACATAGACAGGGCTCTGATGCAGGGAGATGATTAAAACTGTGGTTCCAGGAGTGTGGCTTTGTGCCTGAGCTGCCTGCTCTGACTGGGCCATGAGGGGATGGTGTGTGCATCATTAATGAGGGGGTTTGATGTATTAATGACACCTTCTGCCCTTCCCCATACTCTAACACTGCAGGGGCAGACAAGACTGAATAATGATGACAGGTTCATTCCTTTATTTATTTTTTTTCCTCCTAATGCTAAAACGTTATGTTCCTTTGCCCTGGTTGCCTTCTGCAGTTTGTTGGTGCTGAGTTACTTCTTCTCTTGGGCAGAGCCCAGATGTGAACCCAGTCAAGTGCCCTCCTGATGCCTTCTGCCCCAGGGGCAGCGTGGAGCCCACCTACTGCATGGAACTTTTCCTGTACAAGGCAGGGGACTCCTGCCAGCTGACCCCTGCCACTGTCATTGTGCTGGCCACCTTCTCAGCAGGTGGGTCTGGGTCCTCTCTGTCCTCTGGTAAAACCAGGCACCCCTCTGCAGCTCTGTGTTGAACCAAGCTTTCTCTGGGTGGTGTATTTTGTGTTTCTGGAATGCTGGATTTCTGATGAAAGCCCTTGTGGCTGCTTTCAATGCCAGTGACAGTCCTTTCCCTTGCTCTGAAGGAAGGTGGCACAGTGCTGAATGCTTGTTGTTTGTCCCTGGAATGCATTGGTGTGTGTGCACCCTCAAACAGGGATTCCTTGGCTGCACAAAAGTAGGAAAAAGGAAAATTTCCTTTTGGTATGAGACTGTTTCCTGAAAGCATTCCTGCCTAGTCATGCCACAGCATCCAGCAGCATGGGGAGCTGCTGGCTCATAGTGTTGGTTGTACTGATGCCAAATGTACCCTGTACCCAACAGTCAGGACCTGCTGAGTGTGGGGAGCATCCCTTCAGATGCCACCTGCTGTAAATTAGCTCACTAGGGCAAGCTAATGAGTGCATGAGCTTTGCAACTGGGAAACTGCACCATGAATTATTGTTCCAAAACAATAAATATGCATTTTTAGTCTCAGGAAAAGGAAAAACAGAGTTCTCTTGTTTTTAATCAAAGTTGGGGGGAGATTTAATCAGAGAGTTATGATGAAAATGAGCAACTGTTACTGGTGTGGATTGCAGAAAGGGCAGATGAGGAAGGAGGGAGGAGGAATCTTGTATCCTGTGCCCAGAGAGATGAAGAGCAATCCCAAAGTGCCCCTTACACTACCAGAGATGAAAATCTTGTGTCAAGAGAGCAAAGTCAGAGATGAGTAAGTCATCAGAGGATAAAGAATATCCAACAAGCCTCTTATTCAGTTTCTGTGTTTCAAGTGTATTTTATGTACTTCCTGAAGACCCATTCTCCACTTGGCTCGCTGTTGTTAAAAAGGAGAGAGAGGGGAGATTAAATGCATGTGTTACTCCCCACTGTGAAAAAGACACACAGCTTCTCCAACACCAAAGCAGAGCTCTCATCACACTGATCTCTTGGCAGCTGAGGAGGGGACTCCACAGATTCATGGGAGGAGACAAGGACAGCAGGGTCTGGAGGAGCTCTAGCAGCACCCTCTGACTCTGTCCCCATGGGGCTGGAATGCCTGGTGGGAGCAGATGAAGGTTACTCTCACAAGCTGTGGCTTGGCGCCATGAGAAAGCTCCTCCACTGACCCCTATCCCCTCACACCAGGCTCTTGTCCAAAAATCTGCCAAAACAGATGCCATCTGAAGCAATTATTAATTTGAAAAAGTAGATTAAACTGAAGTATATGAAAAGACTGCCCAGAGAGGGACAATGGCTCATTAACCAGCATTTGTGATAAACAAGTCTGAGGGTCAGGGAACAGCATTCCTGCCTCTCCCAGAGCTTGCCGCAAAGAGGGGGAAAGGAAACAGCCCACGCAGGAACCCGCGGGTTTTTCACGGCTGGTCTCACAGATCAAGTGTTTACCATGAGACTGTCTGCTCACACAACCGAAATTTGGGCGTATTTGTCTGGCCATATTGCATCACAGCGACAGATTTGTGCTCTTCTGTTCAGAGCAATTTTCTCTGTTGATGCTTCTGCCAGAAACAAACGAACAGAATGTCGCAGTACTTGAGATTTGCCAATTACTTCCATGTCCATGCCCAATCCAAAAGTAATTTTTCCTGACAGCCCTGATTTCAGTCTAGACTCAGAGTTAATCTAGGTAAGTTACTTCTTGTGCTTCAGTGTAAGCACTGCACAGGCCAAACTAATTTCTCAACAAGATCCTTTTGGTGGGGTCTGCAGTGAATAAGACGCCAAGTGGAAAACAGTTCCAGAGAGCAGCGAGTAAATGGGAGTAGGAAACCAAGTTACTGAATTATTTCAATAAAACTTGTTGTTATCCCTTGCAGCTTCCAGAATGAAGCTGAGTGTTACTTTTGCCAGTGGAACCTTTTTTCTTCCATCTCTTTGGAGAGGGACAGAGTATGTAGGAGAAAAAACTCCCTTAATTTTATCAGAAGGGAATACCTGAGCTGAGAAGTCTTGGAGCAAACATCACCTGTGTGAGATTCAACTTCCCATCTGTGACTAACTACCCTTCCTTTCTTTCATTCTTTCCAGGTGGAATCATTGTTGTCTTTCTAATAATTCTGAGACAGCGGCAAGAGCACAGCAAGAAATCCTTGAGGTCTCTGTTGCTGCCCCGGGGCCCGGGAGGACACCCCACGTACGGGGGCATGGAACACACAGAGCCAGTCTATGCTGGCTGGTAGCACAGGCCACGAGCAGCAGCCACCTGCCTCTCCCTGCCCTGGGGCAACACAGATGTGGTTCTGGGCAAGGTGTTTAACCACGAGCAACCTAGTTCTGTATAGCTGAAATCCGTGCTGGGAAATAAAACTCAAGGTTTTGAGTTGTGGCTACTTGTGCAAACCAACCCAGCTCCCTGCTCTGCTGCACTGGGCTAATGGGAAAAGTCTTCCCCTTCCAGTTCCTGGCTTTATGCACAAGTAAATACTTTTCTTCTTTCCTCAGGGGGAAACCCCCCCAAACAGCAATCAGTCATACCTGTTTCTCCATTTTAAGTCAGCTCAACAGCGTGAGGACTGACTCCTCCAGTTATTGAGGTTCCTTTGCACTAACATGAATATGCCTCCTTTTAATAATATGCAATTTTTTATTCTGTTCCCCATTCTCAAAATTTTTGCATAAGCCCAAGTCAAGGAAAGGGATCCTAAGGCTCTCCCCTTCCTTTCAGCTGTGGGCAAACATGTACAAGTAAAGTAATGGTTGATTCCTGGACAAGTAAGTCCCTTTTGTTTCCTGCTGTCAGGTGGTGCTTCGGAGTGGAGCTATGAAGGAGCAGCATGCTGCAGGCACATACCCTGCACCTTTCTGCATGCTGAGGAGAGGGGCCTGTAGCAGACCCAGTACCTAAATGCCTGGGCAAAGTTCTGTCCCTGACCCTGGACACCCCATTCAGCCAGGAGAGCAGCACAAGTGGTTTGTACCTGTTTGCTGTGGCACTGTGAGCCTTCTTCTGTGCACCCAGCCCAGTTTAACCATCTGGTTAAACTAATGTGATTTGTATTTTCCAGAGATAATTTCTGTGTGTGGCTGGTTGACTCTTGTCTGCTCTATGTCCCCTATCATGTTTTTATCCAGGCATTCAGAAATGCCCATCACCTGGACTGGAGCCAGTGTCAACTGCTCCACAAAACCAGTCCCTGTGGCCTCTTAACCTTCCCACCTTGTTCTCCTTTTCCTCCTACAGACATTCTTGCACAGGTGCTGTGTAAACCCAGCCCAGCCAGCTGTGACCCTTTGTGTCAGTGCTGTGCTTCACCAGACCTCCATGGCCAGCAAAAACAGTATCACTATCAAAAGATCCACTGCACAGAGGTGGTAGCAGGTGTTACTTCTCACTTGACCTTGCAGCAGCAGAGATGGCTGAAGGAACCATGCCTGTGGGGGGTTAAGTGGTTCCTGCCCTGAGCTGCTCATTCTCCTCTGTCCAGGGAAGGTGTTAGAAGTGCTTAAAAGAATTTATAAAATATATCATTTCTGTGATGTCTCTCAGCTCAGGTGAGTAGCTGGGTGGAAGACTGGTCCATCAGCTGTTGTGGGCAGCCAGGTTACCCAGAGAAGCTGTGGCTGCCTCATCCCTGGAAGTGTTCAAGGCCAGGCTGGATGTGGCTTGGAACAACCTGGTCTAGGGGAAGGTGTCCCTGCCCATGGACCTATTTGTCTTCTTTCAGAAGCTCTTGCTGTTCTGGCTTGAACTCAAAGGGCTTTATGCGTTTCTTAGATATAATCAACTTTCCTGTGGCAAGGCCATGGTGCTCCTACCAGGTGATGTGCTCAATTTGTATAACAAATGCCTCATTTTGCCAGAGAGGCAGGAGGAGGTCACAATTTTGTCTTCAAATCCAAGAGGAGCTGCTCCCACATGATGCACATGATGGCAGGGGGTTGGAAGTGGATGGTCTTTAAGGTCCCTTCCACCTCAAACCATTCTGTGATTCTAACCTGGATCAGCAGCAACAGGGATGGTACCTACAAACCCTCCCCACTGCCCAGCAGGGGCAGAGCTCCATGCAGCCTCTCTCACTGCTGATTCAGGAAACATGAAGTTTCTCTCTGGCCCAAGGCTGTGGTTTTCCTCAGAGCAGCACAGAGACACAATCCTGATGCAGAGCACCAGGTGATCTCAGCAGAACTATCAGCCACCAGTGTCAAAGCAGATCTCTGAAATGCTTTTTTAAAAAATGTGGCTGCTGTCACACGTTGGACACTCCACACGTGAAGCCAAACCAGAGCCAAAAAAACCCTGTCTGAAAAAGCCACAGAGTCAGACCTGACCAAGCAGGACCAGCATTTTTGACAGCGGAAGGACCCTGAGGGAACGGTGCTGGCTGGGCTGGGGAGCTCCAGCTGTCACAAAAACCTGTAAAATTATGAGCAACAGAGAGCAGCACTGGGAAAACTAGACTGCAAGAAATGTCAGCGTTTCTGTGATAAGCAACAGTGTGAAAACAGCCACAGCACAGTCATCACCTCCATGGAAGTGTAAAACAGTATTTCCAGGGTGTCTCTTAGGAAGGCCTGGAGTGTAAGTTTTCCCTATGAGAGAACAAAGCCCTGTTCCCTCACTGCCAAACCGTGCTTTCTTAGGATGTATCAATTCCACATTTTTCTTTAAAGGATAAAAAAAAAGGTGCCAAAGTAAGTATACAGAGCTGTTTTACAAAAGAGACTTAGCAACTTCTTAAATAACTAGGAATAAAATTCAACATTTAATAAGACATTGAAGTTTCTCAAGCAGTCAGACATGGAATAATGAGACTCAACAATGTGGAAAAATCCCATTAATACGTCTTTCAAGGTATTTTGCTTTTCCAAGTAATTCAAATAAAAAACCTCCTAAAACCTGACCATGAACACAAAGCTATTGAACAAAACAGACATTTACTCTGATTATTTTTCCTAGGTTGTATGAAAATACATCTAACATACTCAACTGAAAATTGTTTCCATGCTTGCTCATGTGATAAAAGAACAACAAATTCTGAAATTGGCTGTCATGTATCTAGCTTTTTTGCTAGAAAAGGAAAGACATTTTGCTACTTTGATGGGCAAGACACAAAGAACATCATTTAAGGCCACATAATATGCCACAGTTAATGTTGTTTAGATTAATTTATAATAGAAAATCCTTCAAGTTGCTGAATGCTAAAAAATATCGAGTTGCATCAGGAGAAAGCTCAAGTCTTAAGGATTGTTTTGCCTTGTATTTGAACAGTGGGAGAAGGAAAACAATGTCACAACTTTTCTTTCAGCTTTTTTTTTTTGAAACAAAACTTCAGCCTGTTTTCCCAGGCTGCAGAGCAAGGTACAGAAACCTTCATTACAGCGCACCTAAACCTCACCTGTCCTAGTACAGAAACCAGAATTCTCCCAGATCACCACCTGAGTGCCTGAGCTGAGCTCACAGGCTTCCAAGGCCAGTATGTATCAAGGGAGAGTTTGATCCACGTTCCTCCCTAAGATCAGCCTACAGGAGGTGCCCAGCAGCAGGAACTCCCAGCAATTCACAAGCGAACTCCTGCTCTGCAGTCCCGGTGATGCAGAACTCCGTGCGCCAGAGGGTCGAGCAGTAAAGAGCAAGGAGAGGCAGAAGGAAGCAGAAGGTCAAACAGCCCCTGGCTCAGAGCTGTTTGTGTGAACAGTCTCTCTGTTCCCACAGACAGACACAAGGGTGGCTGTCCTGCATCCTGCTGTGCTGAATGTGCTTGTGAGCCCCTCAGGAGGCTGTGGGCACCGTGCCCCAGCCCAAAGCAGGGGGGCTGTGACTGCAGCAGCCCCTGTCAGGAACAGGCTGTGGCTTCTGGAAGTGAGGATCTGCCTCCTAGGACCTGGGGCATCACCGCTCCAGAGTGATAGAGCTGTTACACCTACACATGAAGAGGAAAAAGCAACAAAACTAAAAAAAAATTAACAAATTATGAAAGCAATGGAATGTAAAGGAAAAATTTTATAATAACTTATTTAAAGGTATTCTTACAAAGCCTTCCTTACATTGTATAGTATTCAAAGAATGGTCCCAATGACATCAAATTCCTTCATTTTGTTTTAAAGCAATGAGGAAAATATTTCTGCTTTACTACCTGACGTCATTTTCCTTCCCTTGAAACCCAATATTAAAGAAACATCCATAATATCATTTCTTGGTTTTGATTTTATGCACGGGACTGTTCTTCAGCCCCATGGCAGAGAAAAAAGTTTCCCTCAAAATCAATTAAAGAATATTGACTTTTAACTTAAGTGCAAGGCTTGGCATACCATTTAAAAAAAATGCAAACATGTAACGCTTCCCCTGATTTAGAACTGTGCTATTTCTTAAAAAATATTCACAAAAAAAAAAAATGAACCTTCCAACAGTGTTTATAAAAACTGATTCAAAAAAGCATTTGGTCACAAAACAGAAACCAAAAGTGTTCAGCAGAGGGCAATGCAACATTTATAGCCTCTTTCAATTAATATCTTCTAATAAAGCCGAAGTTTTTACATATTGGGAATAAATGGGGGTTTTGGTAATTCCAAGAACTATATCAAATCTGAAGAAATGCCTTGGAAAAAAACCAAAAAACATACACTTCCATGATATAGCAAGGCTTCATTTTCAAAAGGGCTACACAGAGTTCCTGCACTATTAACTAAGCTAGAACATACACAAATGGCTCAGTGGACATGGAGGTGCACGTGGTGCTTATGGAGGGTGGGTCACAATGGCACAACTCAAAACATGCTTGGAATGCTGCCTGGTCCTGCCAGGGAGAAAACTGGCAAAGATGTTTTTCTTTACAGTTTTTTCCTAGTTCTACTATTATTTCCATTGATACTAAGTCTTGTATATTCATCTCACTGTGATTTAGTGAGGACCTAATGCTAATGGGAGCGAGGAATTCAAAACAGCTTTGCTGACACAACACAGTGGTGACAGGACAGTCAAGAGCAGAGCTCCTAAAAAACTAACAAAAAATTTCAGTCTGTCAAGAAGCCAGTTTTATACAAACTTTATCCAAAGGAACACAGTAAGGCTAAATTTCACATCAAAGGTCTTACATGCTTCTTCAAAAATCTATTTCACTTTTACTTAATTGTTTTTAATTAGTTTTTGCATTTTCTGTTTCATTCATGGGTATGGTTTTGTTCCTTGTTGGGTATTTCTGGCATTATCACAAAGTTGAAATGCTTGGACTCCAAGCATTCCAAAGAAAAGTTTGCCTCTGCACTTTACCTGCCACTGAGGAAAAAAAAAATCCCATAATTTTTTCTAAATAATAGCTTTTGTAAGATTTATTTTTATTAAAACACAAAAATCCTAGAGTATTTGGCCTAGATTGCAAGACAATATCCCTTTAATTCCAGACCTGTACAGCTCTGCAAGATGAAGTAAATTCTGTTTTGCTGGGACGAAATATAGGAAAAAACAGTATAGAAAAAAATCTCTAAGGAAGATTCCTCCTCTCTGGTACAGGGTGTGCCTTTCCCACCACGCACCACATTTCTTGGTGGAAGGATATTTATGATCATGATTGCTTAAGAATCATTTTTGAAGAGCACAAACCAATTGCTGTGTGTGGTTGTAGCGAGAGACACACCTGGGTCATGGCTGGCATTCAAGCATTTGCTCAAAAACACACAAGGCAAGCAAATCTCATTGGGACCACAGACCAAGCCATTTCTTACTCAAAAGGACTTGAGAACTAACAACTTCTTTCAAGGATATACTATTTTAAACATCTGTTGGTTGACAAATACTACCTCAGAAAACTATGTTTACGCCTACCTGGTTTGATTTAACCTACCTCCAACCTGCAAGTATTTTGGAGGGAACATTTTACATTCGTAACAATTCAAGTGTAACTGTAATGCTGAGTAAC